CCTGATTAGTCGCAATATGAGCAGATCAGGCAGTTAACACATTCCATTCCCGTTATGCCTGGCGAAGCCAGGTGAGTCCGGCGAAGCCGGACTCAAGGGAAGGAGGATAGCTCGGCGTCAGCCGGGCGCTTTGACTGATTTATCAATATATGAGAAGGTTCGAATAACTATTCAGAGTATGACTTCAATAGAAAGACTCGTGCGTATAAGTCCAATGCACAAACCCAAAAAAGGTCAGAAAATTTTTTCTGTCGAAACTTTGTCTGAAGGGGTAATCGATGGTCCTGGTCACGATTCTGACACTTCGTTTGGCGTTCGTCTGACACAAGTTAGAGAAGCGCTAAACGTCACTCATACGGGTGTACACCACGGATTCATGGGAGGATGATGTGGATCCGAAGCGGAGGCAAATGGCACCACAGCTGAAATGAGGTAGCCGACTAAAAAAAGCAAAACTCGCAAGCTGAGGGGAATTCGAACCATCAATACCCACCCTCACTGCCCGACTGAGAATCCGTCCACGCTATCCACTAGGCCATCCGATCGTTGTAGCTGAACACCGCTCCGATCGTTGAAGAAACCATTCCAAGAAGCCGTTCACTCTTAATCACGTGCCACAAATAAGACCCCATTTGCGACTATTTTTCTCCTCGATTCCATAGTACCTTTATAAGGACCCTCTACTCAGCAACTGGTCAAAGTTGCAAGTGATTTGGAGCCCATTGAGGCTCAAAACCAATCGGTTCCCATAGACTTCTTTTCACTCCTTTTTGGTATTCCCAAAGCCATTCAGGAAAAATGAACGTCAGTTTGGTAGTCCATGAACATACCCCTAGCAAAAAACGTTTTCGCGCGCCACCTCCTGAACGACCTCCCTGGTGAGTGGTGGGCGGAGGCTTCTTGACAGGTTTGTACCTGTAAGTAGGTGGTGGAAGCTCCACTCCTGCGGCGCGGGCGGCTTCGTCCTTCCATCACCTCCACTGACCTTCGCACGGCTTCATCGCATAGTCTGCCTCGTCAGCTGGAGCGCAATGGTTAAAGCGCCTCCCTCAGAATTCGCACTGGGTATCTTGCCGCGTGCAGTGTTCGCTGACCATTTGAAGCAATTTCCTTTTGTGCCCATGGAGCAGTTTTCGTTGGCCTGATCCCGCCTGGTTGGAGTTCGCAGTACGTCGTCTGCACCTCTAGCGTGCGACATGCCTGTCCTCTACCTTCACTAACTCGTCTACACCGTGCCCTCATTCGTCTTGTGCAAATGCTCCCTGGGACAGGCAACCGCTGAGCATCATCTATTCGTTGCTTCATTCGGAAAAATAATTGTCGCAATTGGGTCCCCACGAGGAGTTGGAGAGCTGATAACACGTACTTCTTTGGCAGAGCGTAGATAGCAGTCTCGCATTCCTATAAGCGCGTCTGGCCATTAGAGTAAGGGTGAAGAGTGTTTATGGCTCATAGTGACGCAGGCAACTGGCATTTAAGTTTAATTTACTGGGTGCCCATGCGGTGCGATTTATTAGTGTGAAGTTTACGTCTTTCAGCTTCTTAGTTGGTGATTAATAGTATGTATGCTAGCACAGAAATGTTTGGTCAGGTCCAGTCATTGTCTAATACGCAGATAGCCGTGTTAACCGCAACTTGGCCCCCGCAATGTCATTGTATAAGCAAGTTCGCTCAATAGTTTACTACTATTCTGCATGGAATTAGGCAATGATCCACATTCAATATTGACCGATTGCGAAGAATTCATCCTTTTGGCACCGCAACAGGATTGGCTCCTCAGGAGTGTGAACCTTCGAAATAAATCACAATCAAACTAATACACGCAAGATACTAATATAAAAACTTCAGCTTAGTAGAGCAAATGATGTCAGAGGTGACATCTGCATATGGATCGAAATACCCTCGCAGATTTCGCATCTGAGGGATTGATTGGGAAGCAAATAGAGGCGCCAGAAATTCTTATTGCTAAAGACTCCTTAGGTCCGAAAATCATCCGAAAATTTCTCCAAAGCTTTTATTTTTGTTTCTCTATTTATTTGGAGTTAATGCTTCGGAATGCAGCTTCCGCACGCTAGCTACTCCACACCAACGGAGGCAGGGTTTAGATCACTGAGGAAGGTGCTAAGCACAGAAATATTTGAACAAATGATACCAAATGAAGAAATGAAAAGGAGTGGTCTAGAAAAATTCTTATAAACTACAGTAACAGCTGGAATTTGTAGGGACGAAGTAGGGAGACTGAAATCTGATGTGTTACTCATCATGGACTTGGATCTGAGTTTTTCGAAGTTTCCAATACGAAAAAGCAGAAAACTTATAGAATTCCCTGCAATGCAAGTTCTCGACTACTTACTTCACCGTAGTGCTTTTCCTAGAAGCTGAGAACTCCTTGGATGCATGCAAAGCAGTTTGACGCGCGGTGAGAGAAAAGGAAGCGCCTCCAGATGTATACATACAGTACTCGAATGTCGATAGCTTTCCTCGACAACATCTGAACACCATATCTCGAAAGTTTGACTTGTGTCTCTGATCTCATTTGAGTAATTCACGTCGAAAGCTCTTCTCTTAAATAGAAACTTCAAGACAAATTCAACTATAATTTTAATTTCTCTTGACTAGCACGATAATTCGGTCCTCTGTCTAAAATGGTGGCAGTGGTGCTACATAGTTGGAGAATGACGGAAACAATGAAGTGAAACGGCCAAAAACCTCCAAAAAAGCCTTCGTGCTGCGCGATTCAGAAAGCAACTTCGGGTGAGTTTTGCTTTGCCATGTGCCGACCGCTACGGCAGATATGGCTCTACGCATGTACCCATGTATCCATGCAGTGCCGCAACCGCTTCAAATCGATCCCTTCGCTTCATATTTTCTTTCACAAAAGAAGCTATATCTGCACCAGGCACGGTTGTCCACTTGTAATCAGGCGAGCACAGTGGGCGTCCAGCTAGCTTGATAGGGCGCTATGAGACTACCTTTCTTGGAGAAGGCGCCACGCAGCATCTCCTTAACACGTCGACCATTTCCTCCATGACTTGCGCGTGCGACGGCACATCTTCCTGCGTTGAAATTCAGTAACTTTCCAGTAAATGAATGACTGTGATCGAAGTGTATCAGGAAATGCCTGAAAGGGGGATACGAACCTTGTATCTTTGACACTAGCTTTTGTTCCTCGTTCTTCCAAAATCGGGCCAGTTTTTACCGAATTTTTTCTTTGAATTTTTTTCTTGGCTATAAGATTTGCTTTTGGAGGTAGTTGGAAATTCCGAACACGAGTTTCGTATTTGCCTGGCAGAACACGAATTTTGCATCTGCCTGCCACGCCTGGATCCTCACCACAGGAGCTGGTGCCAGGCAGTTTCGGCTACACGTGCAGGGTCAATGCAGGCATGTCATTCCATCTCCTGTAACACGGGCGCTAAACAATTTCGCGTTGAGCAAACATTCATATTCAAGGGGTCGGACTACCTCAGGAGACAGGTTTTCAGCGGATTTGGTGAATGAGAGTATTTTGGCGCCGGCACCTGTGGCACAGGCGCTAATACCTACATTGCCTCATTTCTCATCGCCAGGCAGTTTGGTCGCAAGCCACTGCGATATGTGCAGGTGGTCGAGCTACCCATGGAAACAAACTTTTTTCAACGATTCGGTGACTTAGGGTATTCTGCGCCTGCGCCTGTAACGCGGGCGTTAACCACTTTGTGCCAGGCGACTGTGATCTCCGTTTCAGAGGGTCAAACTACTTCCAGTATCACGTCTTCAAGGAACTGGCTGTTTCCACATCGTTATTAAAACTATATACTGTCAGAGAGAACTATCTGACAGTATATAGTTTGTAGTTTTTATCCCACCGAAATGGACTGGCTGTCGCGCATCATTGTCTGACATCATGTCGTGAACGTGTCAAAGGTACCGAATGTTCTGCAATGCGTCTTAATCCTACACGTCTTGGGGATTTATCCTGCCACCTGCCCCCAGAGACAAAACTGTTTTGCACGCAGTACATAGTGACGGAACAGACACCGTCCATATTTAGAGCTCAAAATGAGCCTTCAATGAACGCTCATGGTTGTGAAAAACACCTTCAGATTGAAAGATGTGTAGCATCGTTAACCAAGCAGGGGCATCTACGCAGCAGAGTAAGCGCTTGTGTTGTTGGATAGGGAACAAAGACAGACAACCACTTTCCCCTATTTTTACCACATATCACAGCGACGGTATACGAGAGAAGTTCGATTTGGTCTGTGTTGCATATGATGTGGTACAATGCAAGAAGCTTTTCTCAAAGAATGTGAGAAGTCATGGTTGTTGAGCTTTACGGAGATTGGAGACCAAAATAGTTGCTTACCTCTGTATGCGATCATGAAGCATGACCATCCAGTTACTGATTTTCGTGGTCTCGGAACTGAGGCGAATAGCATCCTGAGAGACTTGTACAGGGTGCATCATACAACGAAGTTCCCAGTTAGGCTCCTTGACTTTTAACGGGTAGTGCTCGCCATGTGAAGAGGAGCGCTGCCGCTCCTAGTAATTTTTTCCTATCTCTTTTGCTAGTTTGAGAAGATTTCATCAGGCATTTTTGCGCTCCACAAGGAACTTCGTCATTTTCATGCTAGCGCCATACTCTGCTCTTTGTCCTAACTGATGATGAAACTGTCCATTGAAATATATCCAACAGCGCAAAGGATCCTCTGAACCATTTTTCGACTTCTTTATGCTGAGCTTTTTCACATCTTATTTCGAAAATGCATTTTGTGTGCGCGAAGCGGCACTAACCGCGACAATACTGACCTTTTGAGGCAACCTAGTATGAGCGGAACCCTGCGAAACGATCTCAACCAAGATAGTGGGATGATTAATGATGGTTGTTCGCTGCATCCAAAATCAAGAACATTGTACGAGTAGTGCAATTTCGGATTTTGCAGCGAAGTCAATAGATTACACTGGAGTGCACTGATCCACGGAATCTCCAGATTTCGAGGGAGATATCGTCCATGTTGTAGCGATCATGCATCGAGTGACAGTAGGATAGGGGGGCTTCCTGCCACCACAGCGCACACAGAAGGGGCAAAAAAAGACTTTTCGGCCGTATTATTTAAGTTTTCGCAGCACAGACAGAAGACGGGGATAGGTAGGGGGAAGATACCCAAGGTGCTCATTGATAAGCAGGATCAGGCTCTCGCCCATCACCTTCATGTACACCAAAATATGAAGCCGTCTCCAACGCAGCCTGACTGGAGAAGGCCCATGGAATTCACGTCACATCCAAACAGCTGCGGAACTTCTTGTATCGAGTCACAAATAGACAGGTTTATGGGGACAGCACTCCCGATATGGAAGACCTCCAACATCGAGCAGCTCCGACAACGTCGCTACGGTCCAGGATGTCATCTTGACCGTAGTCGTCAGGGCGCGGGTTGATGGTATGAACCAGAGGTTCCTGTGATATTTTCTTTGTAGACCCCGGACTGAAAGTGAACGCTGACAGCTGCATCGATCAACTCAAGAAGAATATCCTGCCTTCATGTCGTCACCTGTACCATCTTGGAAACTTCGGACTGCTACAGCATTGGGTGTCACCCTATGGAATGGAAGGCGTTGGAAAAACTCTCGCCTACTTGGAATGGAAGGGCGTTAAGAACCTGAAGAAGAGGGAATATCCAAGTGTGTCACCTGACTTAAAATTCTCGATTACCGGGTCTGAGCGGAGCTCAACAGGGTTTCCTACAGGGGGCGAAAATCAAACGAACCTCGCTGAACTCGGCACGGAATCACGGCCGCGCGGGTGAATCTCTCGATGGCTCTCGCTCAGAAAGCTCGGCAGGGTATCGTGAGAGTGTATACTGGATACCAAACACTCGTCAACCTTATCTAATTGCAACAGTAACTGTACCTGCAAACTCTCTTCGAGGGAGAGCCCGCGCATTAGATGTATCAGTCACAGTATGAATCAGGAGCTCCGAAATGTTAAAATATCTTACCAAAGAGGGTCTTTTCGCAGTATTTATCAAAGCTAGAAATAACTGAAGACAATCACAAGGTCTTTCCACATACTTACAAGAGCCTCAAAGTTCATTTACATATAGCAAAGACATTGCATTTCGAAGAGTTTTTTTGGAAAAATAATGTGACCACACTAAATCTACGCGGAAACAACGCACAACAGTCGCATAGCTAAGCGGAAAAATCTGTTAGATGCCATAAAGCACATCAAACATTTGTGAAGGAGCTTATATCAATACAACGGCTTTCATGACCACATCGTTTTAAGGTCATCGTAATAACTAGAAGCACCCTGGCAGTCCTACGCACACTGGACAACGTCCCGGGTTTTTTCTTCGTCTCATCAGGTTATCGAACTTTTCACTACGTAGCGTAAGCGCCAATCCGAAAAATAATCGCTGATATGCAGCCATCTAAAGCATCACTTCCCAATTTTGTGATGACTTCAGTGAACAAGTAATAATACTACTTACCCCGTCGTAGGCATGACTTAGATGTGTCGTGTCAAATCCGAGTGGAATATCTGTGAAAAATACCGAGTACGTCAAAAGTCCAACGTAGACCGCCTGCAATCGCTCCTTTACCTACATGACTCCTAGTTTAGCTGATTATCTGCTGCTGGCAATGCTAACGACAATGCTTTTGTGTTGTTTTCTCGGAGGGATCGGGAATACCACTAAGAGATACCAACGACAAGGCTGAGCAAGCGGTAGCAAGCGGTAGCGTATTCTATCCTTCAAAAATCCATTAAGCAGCAGCAACTATTCAACTATGGCGTATGCGATTTGCGACTTCACTCAATTGCTGTCCGTTTACAGGGTGGCGCGCCGAATTCTGCTGTGCAGGGCCGCAGCCATTTGCGTGTGATCCATTTGCCTAGAGAAAACCGGACTCCTCCCCCCCAATTCCCATCTTGCAAGTACGACCCCCTCCGCCATGTCAAAACGTCTTCCCTAGATTTTTCCAACCGCACGTTTGCCTATTTTTTTCCCAAAACATTTCGTTTTTTTTTCTTAACAAATTTGCTGTCGAGGGCGGGGAGGGGGAGGTCGCAGTACCTACGTACGTCCCAAGCACGTCCAGCACTCTGGCGCTGGTGTAGCATACTGACAATACGTACGAGGAAGGGGCGATGATAGGAGCTACGATCACCGCCCACAAGGGCACCATGAATTTATAAACAAACAAAAGGACTCACGACGTGACGATTAATAAACAGATGAAAGTACATTTCCCGGACTTTTCTGATCGTAGGAGCACATTTGCTTGCAATTGGGAAGCCCCTATCTAGAAGTTACACCTTCCAAACACCTGCGTGAAAGCCCCATGCATGGCGCATTGCAGAGGTGATGCCAATTGGCGCCCAATGGCCTATTTCCTGATACCCTTTGCGAAAACATGTGTTTTAGAAGCATACCAAAGTCTTCAAGCCAACTGGAGGTTTCATGGCCTCGGAGGGGCTGATTTTTCGTGTCGTGGGGGGTGGTACGAAATGATCACAACGGGGAATTTTTTCGAATAGCAGGCCTAGGAAGAAAATTAAAGATTTGCTGGAAAGTAGAAAATCTTCAAGCTTCCGGCACAATTCATTTTTTTACGAAAGGCCGTGTATGAAGCTTGCCATGGACGTCCAAAGCGTAGCGACTCGCGGTTCGCAAAAATGATCACAGACGGATCAAGCGATTTGATCACACCGGGGAAGAATCTGGTGCTAACTAGTATGGGGGGGGTGGGACCATCTGCGGCTCGCCAGGCGAACGTGATGACTCATCGGCTTGTTCATTTAATAGGCAATACTTGAAGCGCCATTCCGCGGCCAAATGGATAGTCGAAATCAAGGCAAACAAGCACCGGGAATTTGCTAAGAAACCCCACAGAAGCTGAAAACAAGTGTTTGATTTGTCGTAGTCAACAATAACAGTAAACAACAAGCAGGCAGCAATCTTTTGCAGTAGAACCTTCCAGCCTACAATTTTTCCTCACACTTTTCAGCGTTGACTATTTTAACAATGAATTATAGCCTAATGTAATGTGTGTTTATAATCCTCCGTCCTGAATTATTAAAATTTACTTTTCTATTTGCTGAGGAGGAAGGCAAAGAGTCGATGAGTCATCCACTCGCCGCAAGGCCGCGTGGTCTGCCCCCGCCAATTATGTAGCACCGAAAAATCTCTGGAATCGGAACGTTTTTGAAATCGCTCAATTCAGGTGACAAGAGCCAACCTAGCTCTACTCATTCCCACTACCCCTCTCCGATAGCTTCACTTCACTCACTTTCAACGAAGTTATGGGTGTTCATATGAGGGGTACTTTTCGCGTGTTTGGCTTGAAATTGCTCCAAGGCAGGCCGTAAAAGTAGCGCGCACCAATGAGCTTGTATGAGCGCGCTGACCGCGAACAGCCAAAATTCAAAAGTAATCCATAGCTCCGGTTCGCAGCTGACTACGGTTTCATAGGTAGCTTTTGCAATGATTCTTTTCTAGATTTTGCGGATTAGTGGATTGGGATTTATCTAGACCAGATGAGGAGGGTTGGTGGGCGAAGTGTCTTGAAGTTTTTTTGTGAGGAAGGAGGAAAAAGTTCCAGCACTATTTTTTTGGTTCTTGGCCTAGGAATTGTTCAATAGTGCCTAGTTCTACTTATTGTCATCTACATCGTCCCTTTTGAGCTTCTTTTCACTTGTACCGTGTATCACCCTCTCTCCACTTCAACATGGGCCATGCGTTTACCGACGCTCCCCTCCATCGCGGGCAAATACGACCCCCCCACCGCCCGTGTGATGATCACAAAGATGGCGTGCCCTGTCTGCTGCAATACGGTGCTAACTATGAATATTGATGTTTGGTCAAATTTGTTAGCGCTGTTAGCATAGTTTCTTTCAATTTCAAACTAGCTCGAGTCGTGTATCTGGTATATATGTAGTATATGTCTATATAATTGGCAGGAGATTCCAACAGAAACCTTTCCGTTTATTGCGCAGCGAATCGAGTGCACACTGTTGCAATTGTGGTGACCTTGGCCAACTTCTAGCAATAACTTCTTACAGTTCGCAACAGCTGCGCATGGCTATGGGCGCCAGCAAAGCATGAAAGCACAATGAAACCTGTGCGGTTCAAGTCGCACCCTAAATAGCCACTGAACGACAAAAATCATGCGGTTGCGAAGGTTTTTTCACTTCGTCGGTTACTCTTTTAGGACGTCAAGGATCTCAACAATTTTACGCTTTACATACAGTTGCAGGTTTAAATTGGGAATTAGCTAAATAGCTGATTCAACCCCCGAGCTATATACTGGCAACATACAGCTTACTTAATTCTCAGGAGGTACTAAGTCAGGAAACCTGATTCCAACCCAGTACTCAAGAGGACTAATAAGCAAATGTCGCTCGCTGAAGGTATAATCCAGGGCAATGGGATTCGTTGAATATTATTGCTCACATTGAAACTACTGTTCATCAACAGAATATATGTGAGGAGATTGCTCCCGCTTCAAAATGGCGCCGCTCGTGCTGATTCTGGTGTTCCAGATGCTGAATGATATCCATTCAGTGACATCATTTAATTTCCAGAGAAATGGACTAGCTACATTCCGAGAGGAAACTAATATTTAATTAAGCAACGCAGACAGGTCGACTGAAGTTGATCATTCCTTGGGTAGATCCACAGCTTCCAGGAGCTGTTGTGCCTATTGCTGCAGAGAATACAAAGAAATCTGAAGAATTTGAGACGCGTTGCTAGAAGCACTGGTGTGGCGTAGCTTCGTGACCACCCCTGCCAACAAGCCATCTTGTTTCTAGAGGATCCTTCTCCGTTTCTCATGGGATGACTTCGATAGCCTTATTTTTACGAGTGCCTTACTTAAACATTCTTCAACCGCGAACCCTCTAGATTCTTGCAGTATTCAATGCAGCCAAGATGGTCCGGAAACCATGGACTAACGTAGTATTTCTGCTTTTTGCTTCTACCCTCGCATGAACGTATGCATATAGAATTCATTTCTCGAGACTGTTGTTGAATTTTCGCACCATGCTAGTGAACGCGGCCCCTGATTTGTTCACTTCGAAGGAGTAGCAGTCAAACGTGACAGATGCTTAAGCTTATCTACTGCCTTCTTAAACTAGCAATGGCAACAGTTACCTATGCTGTTAGTGAGGCTCTGGAGGCTCTTGAAACTCTGAACGAACTAACTCCTATAATACAAGAACATAAAAACTCAGAACAAGAACGTGAACCTTGTAGAAGACGTCGTTGACTGCAACAGGAATGTAATACTTTCCAGTGCGAATATTTTCGTCTAAATGGTATCTGTCCGTGAGTTGCAATCTCGAATCATGGCGTTGTTGATATAATAAGATATTGAATCTTAACATAACTAGCAAAGCCTAAACAGCATAATTGCGTTGTTATCAAGGATAACTGCTGTAAAAATAACAGAGATGTGTATCTTGAAGAGAGTACAAGCATCACTTCTTTATTGTTAGATGCATGACAGCATTTCAAAAACGGAAAATACTAAACGAAATCAGCGAAGCTTGAAAACTAAAATTACTCTAGGAAATCATCGAAGTTGGGAGAAAGATAGATAGTAGAAAAATGAACTGGTGTCAATTTTGGAACCTTTTTTATTTAAACACTAAGGGAAAACGAAGAAGGAAGTGTTTTCGGGATCACTCCAGAATGTTCCGAATAACCATGTAAAATGTGAATGTGTAACCAAGAGGAGAAAACGTAAGTCCTCACCGCTAGACATAGAAGCACCGACGCGAGTTGAATTAGCATAAGGTATAAGTCGAAGTTGACAACTGAAATAGGAGTGTGCCTTAACGTTTTTTGCAAACTGAATGTTTTGGAAGGCACAAAACGGTTGCAGAAGCAAATTCCAGAAAATTCAAGTGATTCAAAAGTACCCAAGAGGCTCGTAGCCTATGATTATGTGGATAGCACTTATCCGATATATATAACAGACAGGAACTATCATATGACTCCTTAGAAGTGGGTTCACTACGCTGTGCTGGACTAATTTTTATCTGCAGCAGGGGCAAATGACAGCATGTCAACAGTGATACAGAGAAATGGAATTGTGAGTGTAAAATGCTGAGAACTAGCTTGGCACTAGTAACAACGAAGCTCACGCAGTAGGATAGTAGAATAGAGAAATGAAGGATTCAGGACAGCAGTTGTGCTCCGATGCTTGCTAGCAAAGTGCCTAATAAACTACATTCTTCACAAGAATGTTTTGTGAGCTGCACGCAACTTTTCAAAAAGGACACGCTTGATAACCAATCCGGAATCTATTAATCTACTACCCGCTTTTTTAAGCAGGATGCAGATAAAAGAAGAATTTCGATATTTTTAACAGGATCAAATTAAAAGAACAATTTTCGAAAAAAAGACTTCCTTTCAACCAAGGTAGAGAGTAGAAACTGGAGATCTCTCTTCTGAACGTCTGCTCACTTACCTAGTTGAAAAGCGGATACGCAAAGGAGTAATGATGATAGAAGAGCCTGCAAGGTGTTTTATTAATGACCCTGCCATGAAATTGAGATAAGTTCTTGAAAAAAGTTTTAGGATGCGAGTGAAAAAGTTCTATAAAGCGATCACTCTTGGCAGTAAACGTTGTTGCAGAAGCGCGTCTACCGTAACCCCGATGCACTATTGTACGCCGTGTTTCATACCGATTCCAAAACGTAGGTTCAAATCCCGCTACGGTCTAGCCTATAATAAGAACTGTCATATCTAATGATTCGCGCGTCGACTTCTAGTTCCAGGAGGAGCAAGTTGGTCAAAAGTACACTGACACATCATTGTATGTTTTCTGACATTAAGGTAGCTTTGTTCCTAAGCTTCCTTTTTTAGGTCATCTTGTACGACTACCTTTGCTTTCCCGACTCTCGTCGTTGCTGCCATCTTCTCGACAACTGAATTCCATTCGGGTTCTTTATTGTTCACTCGTGAACAGATGAGATAGCCTCCTGTCACACTTACTAAACGCAGGAAGCGCACGCAAGCAGACGAAAAGTCCCTGTGGTTGTTCCATAAGTTCTATATGGCTCCTTTCGTACGAGCTCTAAAAGCGCGCCGGGCATTTATCCCTCGAGATACTCATGCTCTCCATAAGCTGGATTATTATAGTGCGTTTTTGTAGATAGCTTTATTTGTTCCCTTGCTAAAAACATTTCGTCTAGAGCAACCTGCTGCTTTTTTTACGCAAAGCACCAGTAAGCCGTAGTGTGCCGCTACGTTCCTTCCGATCGTGGGCCCAAACTCAGAATGAAATTCTTCTGACAGCGCAACGAAATTGAGCGTTTTCGTTCCCGTTACTTCCCAATTTTATTGTTCTTCTCTTCTCGCTACTGACACTGACTGGAATAATTGACTAAACATGCAGCTAGTCTACTCGTCTACCGGCTATGCTTTCGGGATACTGCGATTTCTATTGTGGGCCATTTTCTCCACTTTGGAGTGCAAAAGAAAGAGCCGGTAGTGTATCGGTACCCGAGTGCCGCCTTCCGACACCGCGCGCTATCCTCCAGGTGCCTCTTGTGTCGATGCCAAGGTCTTGCAGTGAAAGAGGTACT